ATGGGGTTTCTTGTCTTGGTATAATTCTATTAGTTTTGTTTTTACATCATCCCAATTATCAAAATCGTACAAAGAAATTCGATCCCTGGCCTTACCAGTGATTCTGGAGTAAATGAATCTAAAGAGTGGGTACTTATTCTCTTCAGAGGACAATTCGATAGCACTATCACAATCAGAGATAAATGCATTAAGTTGGTTCCTTTCTCCGGAAAAGAAATTAGGAATTAGACTACACAAGAAATCAAGGGGTATTTGGGATGGGTTGAAAACAGGTTGATCAAGTTTAGGCATTGTTCACAAAATGAGTTACCTATTACTACTACTTACAATATAAAGAAATTCTGATAAAGAGTTAAAACCCACCAACATGAAACGAATTACTTAAGAATTCTCCGGTTTCTTGTCGTTCAGAATGATCCTTCATCGACTGCGCCAAAATTTTAATATGTTATATTCGGTTCGTTCTTTATTTTTGTAAGTAATGAACAAGCACTTAAAACTATCACAAAACTAATATTAATAAACAAGAACTTATTACAGCTAGACTAAAAATCAAATGAACCAACGCCAAGCTGTGTAGCTTGCCTATATTACTTTGGTCTTTCGACAGTCAACTGTTTCGAACGAGCAACAATGGGAACTAGCAAACACTTGCAACTAAAACAAAAGAAATAGTCTTTAGAAGCTTCGCTTCTAAAGAAGAACAATTCGAGTTCGTCGCCAGTCTTTTGTTTATAAAAATTTGAAAATGTGAATATTGAGTACGGGATCATAACAATATATATATATTTGCAATGAGGATTGCTTAACTACCAACTAACGGGTATTTGAACCCTTTATATTTTGATCGACAGTCGTGTTAATCCTTAACCTTGACCGAAATATACCTTAATATACCTTAAAATAATTATGTATATATATTGAACTTACTCAGTGCGCCATTTTCTAAATCGAAATCAAAAACGTCGATTTTTCTTGTTGGGCTGTCAATGTAAAACATTTTATCATAATTTTGGTTCCAAATCAAACCGTTTGATATGCTGACGTTGTCAAAATGTTTCACTGGTTCTTTACCCATTTCTATGCTATAAAGTGAACCAGCTGTTGGTGTGAAATCATCATTCTTAACAGGACCCATTGTTCCAACCCATAATCTTCCCTTACCATCAACTTTACCATCGTTAAATTGATTTTCTTCTTTACCCGGACCCTCATCTAATGCCACTACGGTTTTAACACTTTCCGGTGTCTTTGACGTTCCATCCCACGTGACAATTGTTAAGTTTTTACCGATCGTAACTGCAAATTCGTTTGGTTTGTCCTTAATGGGTATTACGATTGACACGGGAGCTGATTCGTCTGTAAAAAAACATTCGAATAGTTTTTATTAAAAAAAAAAATTATAAAATTACTTAACGACTTTCATGTTCTATCCCTTACGGCATTTGTTATCATGAGTTTTTTTTTTTAACAAAAAAATGATATAATGAAAAGAAAAAATTTAGAGAGAGAGAGAGGGGGAGGGGGAAGGGGAGGAGAGGGTGGAGGAAAGTATTTTGCAATTTACTAAATCGAAAACGAAAAAAAAAAAATTTTCACTTTCGATTGAAAACATGGAAAACGGAAAAAAAAAAATTTTTTTTTTTTTTAAGTAATTGATTACTACTTGTTTCACTGCTTTCTATAATAAGAAAGTTGTCGGAAGAAAAAAATTCCACATATTTTATAAAACTGGATTTTTTTTTTTTGAATTCGCGATTCCTACGTAAAAACCCCCATTTGAGAAGAAAAACCTTCGCGCTAATGTCATTATTATCATTACTTAATTTTTAAACTTGTTAACGAACCTTATGAAATATTTGATTTGTTTTTTTTTTTTTTTTTAAAGAGATACCCGGGTACCGAGTACCTCGTGTGATTTCTTAGAAATCGATTAATTATTATAAACAAGTCTGATGGCAAAACGAAGGTCGAGAGCTTTTTTCGTATCAATTTTACCATTAATATTATTATTATTATCGTTGTTGTTGTAGAACGGGTAGTGAGGAAAACATAACGTAAATGTCGAAATTTACTCGTTTACAATTTTTTTTTTATTACTTATTTACAAACAACAACAACAACCGCAATAATGTTTGTTATGTTTGTAATTTTTTTGCGTGGGATGATGAAATGAAAATTTTTTTATTTTTTCCTCATACTTTATCACAAATATTTATAAATTCAAGTTTCTTTGCATGTTTAACCGATGATAAAGTCAGGTTAATCACCTACCTGCCCCCCACCTTTTCCCCCTTCCTCCCCTCGATAATCACACACCCCCCCGAGGCTGATTTATTTCATTTTTAAAAAAAAGAAAAATTTTACAAGTTTATTTATCGCGTGTTCAATTTGTTATTATCAATTTATTTGTTCTTTTTTTGCATAGAAAATAATAATAATAATAATAATAATAATAATAATAATAATAATAATAATAATAATAATAATAATAATGATGATGATAATAATAAAAATCGTAATAATAATAATAATTAAATATGGATCATTGGGTCAACGACGAAAAACTTTTTTTTTTTTTTTTTTTTTTTTTCGACAGTTTAGGGAGGATAGGGGGATAGGGGAGGTAGGGAGGGGAGTTTAAATAATATATATTATTTAATTTTTCGTAAGTTAAACATAGTATCGAATGATAATAATAATAATAATAATAATAAAATATCGATTACATGAATTTTAATTACGTAACGACGAACCAGTTTACCCGTTATGGAATTTCGATATCTCTTATCTATTACCACTTATTTGAAAAAATAAAAAGAAAAGATAAAATCTTATTATTATTATTATTATTATTGATTGATTGATTGATTGATTGATATTAGGTCAGTTACGATTATTATTATTATAACTATTTTTAATATGTTGAAATTTGTTGTTGTTGTTGTTATTGCAAATCGTCATTTAATTAATTTATTTAATTAAAAAAAAAAAAAAATCGTTAGATTAACGTTTTTATCTCATGCTTAACGGAAACAGGTTTTTCGTTTTGAAATTAAAAATGGCGTCGATGCAACAACAACATTTAATTTTAATTTAATTTTTTTTTATGTAATTTTTTTTTTCGAAATGTGCAAACAATTTTTTTTTTTTTTTCGTCAGATTTTGCGTAAATATTTTTTTACGAAATAATATAAATAATAAAAAAACCGGTCACGTGGTACGCAAAAAAAATTTTTGTCGACGTTTTACAAATTTTTAGGATAAAACACACTATATTAAGATTATCGATTGATTTATTTTCTTCTGCTTTTTCTTCTGCTTCTTCTGCTTTTCCTTCTGCTTCTTCTTCTGCTTTTTCTTCTGCTTTATTCTTTTGTTTATATTAATTTATTAAAATATTTAAATAATCGATCGATTTTTAAGTAGTTTAAATAATTAAAAAGTTTGAAAACTTCTATTTTGTTTTTTTTTTACCGGGGGGGGGGGGTTGGGGTTGGGGGTTGGGAAAGGGAAAAGGTTGGGGGTTGGAAAAAAAAGTTTTCGTTTCGAATTAATATTTAAAATTTCGTGGATTAAGAGAAAATACAAATGGCGAACGGATTTTTATCCCTTTCGTTTATTGCAAATGGCGCGAAATTAATAATAATAATAATGATAATGATAATAATAATAATGGAATAACTTACGGACTTTACAATAATATTCTTTTTCTTCTTTCGGATCGTATCTATGGATGGACGACCCAAAATCATCAACGAAATATAAATTTTGACTTTTGTCATCCCAATGTGGTCCTTCTCCTAAAATCCTTGATTCGGTCCAGGATTTCACTTCGAAACCTGAAGAAATTTTCGATAAAAATACAAATAAAAAAACGCGTAACATTATTTTCATTTCGTTAACACAATTAATAATAATAAAACCGGGGAATTAAAAAAAAAACGTGGCAATAGATTTCGATCAACTTTCAACGACTGCCTTACATAAAAAAAACTCGAATATTAATATGATTTAATTATATTTTCAACTTTATATATATATATATATATATATATATATATATATATATATTGTTATGAACCCACATCAAATGTGATATACTTTTTGATAAATGAATAAGAATAGTGACTCCATTCACATAGTAGACGCAAAGTCAGCATGTCTGGAGATAGCGACTCTATTCATATCATAGACACATAGTCAGCATTTCTGGAAGCTTCGCTTTTCTTATCTAATCTTAAGTGCTAGTGAATGAATAATGTCTAGCGATAGTCAGAACTTAAAAGGAGGCTGAACGTCTCAGCCATCGGTTCTTGTTTCTTGTTGCACAACTCTTCGTTCTTGGTGTTCGACTCTTAGTTCATCGGTTTCTCCTGATATCTTAGAGTTCAACTTGTGTCTAGGTCTAGTTTTGTGATTGTGTTTACAACTAGTAGTGTTCATAACATTATTTTAGTGACTAATTTGTTCTGTACATGTAACATGATGTAAAATGTTCTTCTGTTGCTTACAATCAATATAATTCTTCTTTCGTTAGAAGTGTGTTCGATTTCAATCTTGAATAATACCACGAACGCGGAGGAAGATCAACGTTGTGAATCGATAATCGAATCGGGCCACGACAATATATATATAATAATTTTTTTTTTTTTTTTTTTTAACCGGTGAGTTTGCCCTTCGATCTTTTTTTTTACTTTTCGGGTACTAAACCTTGTGGTAACCTTGAATAAAAAAATAAAATCTTTTGTGAAAAATAATTTTTACACACAAAAAAAAAAAAAAATTTAAATAAGCTAAAAACGAGGAATTTTTTTTTTATTCTTAATAAAATGGCGCGGCACACATGATTATTATTATCACGATTAATTTTATTTATTATAACCTTAAAGGGTTCATTTCCTTTTTTTTTTTATTATTTATTGTTATTAATATTATTTGTCGTTTTTTACTGTCTATTAAAAAAAAAAAAAAAAAAAACAAAGGACCCCCCAATAACCTTTTTTTGTACCGATAATAATTTTAAGGAAAAAAAAAAAAATTTTTTAAAAGGCCTGGCCGGGTTATTTAAAAATAAATTATGGCCTTTTATTTACCGATTTTGCCTGGGTCCGAGTTCTTTTGGTTAGGCCTTTATGGTGCCTTTCCTTCGGCCACGCCAAATTTAAAAAAAAAAAAAATTTTTTTCCTTTTGGATTATTTCAATAATTTCTTAGGGAAAAAAAAAAAAAAAAAAAATTTAAATAAGCTAAAAACGGGGGATTTTTTTTTTATTTTTAATAAAAAGGGGCGGCCCCCCTGATTTTTTTTTTCCCGGTTAATTTTTTTTTTTATAACCCTAAAGGGGTCCTTTCCCTTTTTTTTTTATTATTTATTGGTATTATTATTATTTGTCGTTTTTTACCGTCTAGAAAAAAAAAAAAAAAAAAAAACGAATGACTCGCCAATAATCATTTTATGTAACGATAATAATATTAATGATAATAATAATAATATTTTTAAATGTCATGTCCGGTTATTTAAAAATATAGTATTGCCTTTTATTTATCGATATTGTCTTGGTTCGAGTTCTTTTTGTTATGTCTTTATTGTTGCTTTTCTTCTGCCACGTCGAAATTAAAAAAAAAGAAAATTTTTTTCTTTTGGATTAATTCGAATAATTTCTTATGGAAAAAAAAAAAAAAAAAAAAAATTATCGACCGTTAATTTAAACGAATTCGATTGCGTACGTAATAATAATAATAATAATAATAATAATAAAGCCAACGGCCATAGCGTGCTGGTCACACCGGTTCCCGTACGATCACCGAAGTTAAGCAGCATCGGGCGTGGTGCAAACTTGGATGGGTGACCGTCTGAGAACGCCACGTGCTGTTGGCTTAAAAGAGCAAAAAAAATGAGAACAAGACAAAGTAAGAACCAAAAAACAAATCTTGTTCTACTGTCGACCTGAGGCAGCTCGACGAGAACGTGAATTTCACTGCTTCTGACCCTGGCCACTCCAAAGATGTTAGTCACTGGAGCCCAGTTCAGGAGACAAATCGTTCCCATCGAAAAAGACGGACTCAGGAAGACCTTCAAGAATTGATGTGGTGCTATCTTATAATAAGTGGCACCACCGAAATTCGAGTATTTGTCCCTAAGGAATCGGGTAGAAACCTCGGATAAATACTTAAAAACTCCGACAAGTAGCCTTGTCGTGTTTAATGATGGATAACAATAATAATAATAATAATAATAATGATAATAATAATAAATTTTTTGGTTTAAGAAATGCTGTTGAGCAACACAGCTTGCTTTAATCGTAGAGCTCAGAGAAAATCGTCATCGGGTGGGTCGTCTACATCCGTACGTTCAGAGCAGAATAAGAATAGTCCACCGCCGAAGCCACAGCGTGACAACAATTTGCGGCGGACCGAAACGGTGAGCGATTTGTCTAATACCGCGAAGAATACGATACTGCAATTAGTAAGTGATTTTTGTTCAGCAATAAGTGCTTTAAACGCTAGTGAACATAACGATGGAGAGGATGCTCAAAAAAGCACTGATATCAAAGAAAACGGGGCAGAAGATAGCGTCAAGGACGATCAAGAATGTCGAAGAAGCAGCGACGACGTTTTTGATGGAGGAAATAAAAGTACTCCACTCAGAAATGGAAGAGATGATGAAGGAGTTAGAAATGGAAAGGTCAAAGGAAAAGGTTCAAGTGAACATTCCTCATATGGAATCATTGAGCAGAACGCTGACTCAATGTCAATCAGCGTCATCGGGATTACATCATTAACTCATTCAATGCTATCGCTGCTATCAGCAAGGGATGATGTAACTGTATCACATATATGCAATGTTTTTAAGATATACGCTGAAAGAGATACTCGTATAAAAGAAGCTGTTATACGGTCGATATTGACTATTGATAATGGATTTATACCGAACCAACATTTATATGATATAGGTATGAAGTTGTTGAATGTAATAAAAACGATGGATGATGAACTGGACGATACCAGTGATGATTTGGAAGAATACTTGCCGACCGAGATATCAGCCTTCATAACATTGAGAAAGGTTGATGTAATTAGAGTACTGCGAATATTCTATAATAGTACATATGCTAAGTTGTTTACTTTTGAAGAGAAAAGTTATTTTATGTCATGCGTTATGTTCAGAAATGTAACGTATGACACACTTATACTGGTTAAAGATGTTCTGAGCCAGGATATGTTAGCCGATTCTATACCATCATGATTGATCTGAACTACTGGTAACAGCAGTCCCATTTGCACCATGGGTGATAACCATTAAGATAAAAGAAAGAGGGCGCTGGTGTTCCATGGTTGACAAGCCTTTTTGTCATATCGTTTTCTTTAATTAATTTTAATAGTTTTTTTTTAGGGTTTATTTATAAGTTATATATCAAAAGTTTTGTAATTTAGTCTAGTTTACAGTGATATAATTAGTTTTTTAAATTATTTAGTAATAACTATATTATCTCAAGTTTAAATTTACAAATTGTTCAACGATTCCATGTGACAAAAGGAAGCGTGGGCAATAAAAAACCTTAGAAGGCACCTTAGTACATATAAGTTAAACGGATAAGTACCTCATTTTAAGACTTAAATTTCAATTGTAAAACGTTAGGCTAACAAAGAAATTGAACACATAACCAAAAAATTTTTTTTATTTTTATATTTCTTTGGTTAATTATAAGTGATTTGACTATTTATATCTTTATCTTATTTAACAAAATAAGAATTAAAATATTTTTACAATAATATAGGTTGATACATGATTTTTTCAGGGTGTAATTTCTATACCCCTATTGTTAAGTGTTAACTTGTGATTGTATGTTATTTTAGCCTGTCTTAAGCTAACTTAATTCATTGTAGTAAAGTTTATTAATAATAACATAGTGTAACTAATACCTTTCTTAAATCTGAATCAAATTAGGAAAGAATAGTAGTAGCCTTTATATTAAGTGATATTAGTGTGAAAGGGTACAACAGATTTCTCTTTAACCAGACTTCATTTAATAAATTTTGCATCTTTTGAATTACTTATAAGAGTTAAATATCTTTGTCATACTAAATAAGAATAGAGGTAGTTCAATATAAATACTCATTATCTATTGGCTTAATGTAATGTATAGCTGGATATAACATCTCTGTACTCCTGTGTTAATCTACTGATTGTTTTAATACAGAATATTTTACCATATACTTTATGCAAATCTCCATTTTGATCTACATTAACACTAGCAGAGATCAACTTTTTCTGTATTACTTAATAATAGTACAGAACTGTAATTTGTATGTTGTGCATACAGTTAAATGTAATCTATGTAATCTATTTTATCCTTAAATTAGTTTGTTTTGTTACTGCTTAGTTTATAATCTTGATAGTGTAATATTGCCTGTAAATTTGATTCAAGATCAATTAATTAAGTTATAAATAAGTAGCCTTTTAGTATTTGTTTCTAATATAAAAATTGTGAAAAAGCATTATACATTTGAGGGACCATAACTTAAACAAACCTTATACAACTTAAGTTGAAGTCTAATTGCATATTATAGCTAAGTAGTTTAGCCAAATATCTCTACCATACTCATTGAAAATAGGGATAGTTTAACAAAATAGGTTAATAAGATAGTTAGTAATATCTGATTTAATATATCAATTGGGTAAAAAATTTGTTCTGTCTAATCCGGTTGTCTGATAACTAGTGTTCTAATTATATTATTTAGACTTTCGCGGCATTCTACTCTACAATTTTTACTTAAATTTTTTGGGTTATAACACCCAAAAACAAGGATTAGCCATGGGAAGCCCCCTAAGCCCCGTCATGGCTAATTTCTTCATGGAATATCTAGAAAAAACGGCTTTAAACTCTGCCACCCACAAACCCTCCCATTGGTTCCGCTATGTAGATGACACCTTTGTGATCTGGCCACACCACCCTTCTCTCCTCCACGACTTTCAAAATCACCTCAACTCCATCCATCCAAATATTTCCTTTACCTTTGAAATAGAAAACAACAACCAACTACCCTTTCTTGACGTCCTAGTCAAGAAACTCCAATCCGGAAAACTTTCCCACTCTGTTTACCGCAAACCCACCCACACGGACAGGTATCTCCACGCCGACTCAAACCATCATCCAGCTCAAAAAAATAGCATTATGAAAACACTCTTCCACAGAGCTAAATCAATCTCATCCGCCGACTCCATTCATCAAGAAATAACTCACCTAAAACACATATTCCAAGCCAACGGTTATAATAGACGGTCAATAGAAAAAGCCTTATCCCCCACCACCAAAAAACCAAAACCCAACAACACTGACCGAAATCACAAACACAATAATAAAGTGTTCCTACCCTACATAAAGGGAGTCACAGACAGAATAGCCAAATTACTAACCAAAAGGAACATCTCCACAGTGTTCTTTCCCACTGCAAA